GGGGGCGGCGGCCGCGGAAGGCGAGGCAGGTACCCTGCGGGGACGCCCAGCTCAGCCCATCCCCGCTCGGCCGGCCGTGCCCTGCGGCCCGGCGCGCCCGCCGCGCCGCATCCATGTTTGAGTAAGGACCGCGGCGGGGGCGCGGCGGGCGGGAGGAGCGGGCGGGCCGGGGGCTCCGCGTGCTTGGCCCGGGGGTGGCGCGGTCGGAGCGGAGGCTGGGGGCTGGTGCCCGCGGGGCCGACGGGGTGGGGGTGGGGGGGCGACCGGGTGGGGGCGGGGCGGGGGCGGGGGCTGCAATGGGGACAGGGCGCTGAAGGCCGGGAGGCTCCAGGGCTGGCTCGTCGCTGCAGGGGCGCGACGCGCCGGGGTGGCGGGGCTTTGGTGGGGCTCGAGCTCATCCCGCGGGGAGCGTGGCCTGCGGGGAGGGCCCCGGCCTAGCTGGCCGCGGTCCCGGAGGCGAGGGGCGAGCACAAGGCTGACCCTGGGCTTTGGGCCTCGAGTGGAGGCTGGACGGCCCCCTCACAGGCCACGGAGCCCCGGGAGGGCCCCCTCCCACCGCCCTTGTGTGTCGCGAGGCTCCGTGAGCCTCGGACTGCTGATGGTGGGGGCTTGGTGGCCGGCCTGGTGCCTGAAATTCTCTGGGGTTGCGGGTTGACCTCCTACTCCTTGGTCCCGGTTATGTTTTCCAGTATGAATTGTAGGTGTCTTGGAAGCGTGTGTGCGCGTGCCTGCATTCCTACTGTGCATCCTCTTTGTGTGTGTAATTTACGTCAAACTCCATCTGGGGCTCCATGTGTTCCTGTAAGTTCCCCGAGTGTGTCTGATTGTGACTCTCGGCTGTGGGGGGGGGGGCGGGCTCTACGTGTGTACAGTATTATCACATCCCGTCTGACCTGTGCATATCTGGTTGTGACTTTGGAGTGTGCGTACATGCCTCTAGGTCTCCTAGTGTGCAGACAGCTGTGATCCTCCCTGGTTGAGTGTGCGGGTCTGTAAAATTTCTCTGTCACTGCATCTGTGACTCCAGGTGACACTAAGTTCCCTGTGTGGCCAGTTGTGACTGTGTGGTGTGTGCATACGTGTCCTGGCCGGTGCTTACAGCCTATCACTTTCTATTTGCCTATACTATATCTCTGAACACATTAGCCCTTTGTGAGAATGTAAGTTACCTGTGTGTGTCCATATGTGATGTTGTGTGTCTGGGGTCTGGCACATGTGGCTGGAACCCCCTGGGGTTGTGGGATCGTGCCTGTAGTTTACCTCTAATTACATCTTTGTGTGGAAGTTCCAGCATGTATCCATATGTGACAGCTTTGTGTCTGCCTACGCTTTGTGTGTCCAGCTGAGACCTTCTGGGGCTTTGTGTGTGTGAAGAGCAAGAGAAAGAAATGCCCTGTGGCTCTTAGTGGGCCTGGAACCGTCTGCCTGAGACCTTGGC